TTTTTTTTTTTTTTTTTTGAGATGGAGTCTCACTCTGTCGCCCAGGCTGGAATGCAGTGGCGCAATCTTAGTTCACTGCAACCTCCGCCTCCCAGGTTCAAGCGACTCTGCCTCAGCCGCCCGAGTAGCTGGGATTACAGGTAATTTTTGTATTTTTAGTAGAGACAGGGTTTCATCATGTTGGCCAGGCTGGTCTCCTAACCTCAAGTGATCCTCCCGCCTCAGCCTCCCAAAGAGCTGGGATTACAGGCTTGAGTCACTGTGCCCAGCCTCCACCACTCGTAAAACAAACCCAAACCCTGTGTCCTTCAGGTCTGCCCCTGCTGCCCTCCCTAACCTCTTTTCACACTCTCCATCCAGACTTTTCTTCTTTCTCTCTCTCTCTCTCTTTTTTTTTAGGGTCTCGCTCTGTCACTCAGGCTGGAGTGCAGTGGTGTGATCATGGCTCACTATAGCCTCCAACCCCTGGGCTCAAGCGATCCTCCCGCCTCAGCCTCCCGAGTACTTGGGACTACAGGCACACACTACCATGCCTGACTAATTTAAACTTTTTTTTTTTTTTTTTTTTGGTAGAGATGGGGTCTCACTATGTTTCCCAGGCTGGTCTGGAACTCCTAGGCTCAAGTGATCCTCCGGCCTCAGCCTCCCAAAGTGCTGGGATTACAGGCATGAGCCACCATGCTGGCTTATTTTATTTTATTTTTTTTGATTTTTTTGACAGTCTTGTCCTGTTGCCCAAGCTGGAGTACAGTGGCATGATCTCGGCTCACTGTAGCCTCCGCCTCCCGAGTCCAACCGATTCTCATGCCCCGACCTCCTATGTAGCTGGGATTACAGGCATGTGCCACCACATCCAGCTAATTTTTGTATTTTTAGTAGAGACGGGGTTTCACCATGTTGGCCAGGCTGGTCTCGAACTCCTGGCATAGGTGATCCACCAGCCTTGACCTCCCAAAGTGCTGAGATTACAGGAATGAGCCACCGTCCCTGGCCTTTTTCTTTCTTAACAAACCAAATTCATTCCAGCCTCAGGGCCTTTGCATCACCCATTCCCTCCACATGGAACACCTCTTCCCCACCCTACCTCATCTCCCGAATTTTCTCTTGTCTGGCTTCTCATTGCTGGAGAGGATTTGCCATCCTGGAGGCAGAGCCTGGGCCTTCACAAGGCTGCACTGGGTAGGCCCTTCCCATGGGCTTCTGCCCACGGGCCTCACGCTGCAGCTTCCTCGCCCTTTCATGCTGCCCATTTGGCTCTGCCAGGGACCCGGTCCTGCCAACTGCCCATGACTTTGGCTCAAACTTTCCTCGACCCCCTTCCCCAGGACCCAGATTGTCCAGTCTGGCCCCGGCTGTGTTTGTCTCTCCAAACTTTGTGCCAATCAGATGAGATGGGCAGAGACCTATCCTGCTGGCTGGAGTGTCATCAAAGCCAGGCTTTGTGCACAAAGATGCTCATCACAGCATCATTTATCAAAGTGATAAGTAAGAAATACTCGTCTTTTTTTTTTTTTAAACAGAGTTTCGCTCTTGTAGCCCAGGCTGGAGTGCAGTGGTATGATCTCGGCTCACTGCAACTTCCTCCTCTTGGGTTCAAGCAATTTTCCTGCCTCAGCCTCCGGAGTAGCTGGGACTACAGGTGCCCACCACCATGCTCGGCTAATTTTCGTATTTTTAGTAGAGACAGGGTTTCACCATGTTGGCCAGGCTGGTCTTGAACTCCTGACCTGAAGTGATCCTCCCACCTCAGCCTCCCTAAGTGCTGAGATTACAGGCATAAGCCTCCATACCCAGCTCAATCACAATTTTTGAAACTGCAGAGAATGGGTAAGAAATTGCTGCTAGTTCCTTCCATCATACTCATCTTGGTTTAAACCCTCCCGCAGCTCTCATTATTAGGATGAAAATGAAACTCCCTGCACACCTCCAAGTCACCCAGGTCCACCTGCATCGCAGCAGACTGCCCCAGCCACACTCACGCTCTCTCCCTCTTCTGTACTCATGACGCTCCTTTCTGCCTCTGAGCCTTTGCATGTGCTGTTCCCTCTACTTGGAATACCCTTCCCTCTTTTTTCTATTTTTGAGGCGGAATCTCGCTCTGTTGCCCAGGCTGGAGTACAATGGTGTGATCTCAGCTCAATGCAACCTCTGCCTCCCAGAGTCAAGTGATTCTCCTGTCTCAGCCTCCTGAGTAGGTGGGATTACAGGCACCTGCCACCACGCCTGGCTAATTTTTGTATTTTTAGTAGAGATGGGGTTTCACCAAATTGGCCAGGCTGGTCTCAAACTCCTGACCTCCAGTGATCCGCCCACCTTGGCCTCCCAAAGTGCTGGGATTACATTCATGAGCCACCGTACCCAGCCCTTTTCCTCTTCAGCTAGTGCATCAGCTATTCACCCTCCAGACCTCAGCTCCCCTCCCTGGGGAAGCCTCTGCCAACCTCAGACCCCATTACGGGAGCTCACGACACTCAGCATCTCCCATCAGATTGGTCACAGAGTGGCCTGTGCTCCTGGGGTTCTTCCAGAAGAACGCTCATCCCATGTAGCCAGTCCCCTCATCCCCGATCCTTGGCGCCACATACCTTCCTTGGAGCCAGTGGCCGCCGCCGCCGAGGATGAAGCTGACCCAGTAGACGTCCGGCCCATGGGGCTGGAGTGCTTCCCCCCACGGCCGGGGGGCTTCAGGCCGCTGGGCTTCTGCATGGCGGTGCCACTGGGCAGGTGGTCAAGGGTGAGTGCTGGTCACGTCCTCTCTGCCATCTTCACTCACCTGCGGGCAGAGACAGGAGAGATCACATCATCACTTCCCAATGGCCCCCAGACCCTCAAGGGCTAGTGAGCACCACACATCCCCCCCTGAGGTGGGCTGGACGAGGCAACACCCGATTTAACCTATCAGCTCACTGCAACACCCGATTTAACCTATCAGCTCACTGCAACACCCGATTTAACCTATCAGCTCACTGCAACACCCGATTTAACCTATCAGCTCACTGCTCCCGTTGCCGCACAGGCCATATTCCCGGACTCACCATCCCAGCACGCACCCCCTCTGCTGCAGGGGCAGGACAAACACACAGAGAGGCTTATGCCTTCCCCAATGTCCTGGTGTGGGGTTACCTGCCTCAACTCTACACCAGGCCGCCATCTAGCCACAACCTCTGCCTGCCTTCCCACCATGAAGGCTTTGTGTCTTTATTTAATTTTGGTTGCAGAAATTTATTACAAGTGAAAGATATTTCATCCTCTATCCCACGAGCATGCATCAAGCTGTTTGCAACAAAGACCATTTTTAGACTGGGTACAGCGGCCTGTCAGTCCAGCACTCTGGGAGGCTGAGGCTGGTGGATCGCTCGAGCCCAGGAGTTCGAGGCTGCGGTGAGCTCCAGTGCACTCCAGCCTGGGTGACAGAGTGAAACCTTTTCAAAGTGTGAGCTGCACGCTGACTATGGTCATTAAAAGCCCTAAAAGGGGCCAAGCGCAGTGGCTCACGCCTGTAATCCCAGCACTTTAGGAGGCTGAGGTGAGTGGATCACTTGAGGTCAGGAGTTCAAGACCAGCCAGGCCAACATGGTGAAACCCCGTGTGTACTAAAAATACAAAAATTAGCCAGGCTGGGTAGCATACGCCTATAGTCCCAGGTACTTGGGAGGCTGAAGCACGAGAATCACTTGAACCCGGGAGGCGGTGGCTGCAGTGAGCCAGGGTCGCGCCACTGCACTCCAGCCTGGACAACAGAACGAGACTCTTGTCTCAAAAGAAAAAAAAAAAAAAAGCCCTAAAAGGGCTGAGAGCAGTGGCTCACACCTGTAATCCTAACACTTTGGGAGGCCAAGGTAGGAGGATTGCTTGAGGCCAGGAGTTTGAAACCAGCCTTGGTAGTATAGCAAGACTTTATCTTTAGAGAAAAATAAAAAATAAAAAATTAGCCAGGCATGGTGGCGCATGCCTGTAGTCCCAGCCACTTGTGAGGTGAGACGGGAAGATCGCTTGAGCCTGGGAGGCAGAGGCTACAGTGAGCCATGATGGCACCACTGCACTCCAGCCTGGGTGACAGAGCGAGACTCTGTCTCAAAAAAAAAAAAAAAAAAAAAAGCAGTCATAAAATAGAACAAAATGATGTCCTTTGCAGGGGCATGGATGGAGTTGGAAGCCATCATCCTCAGCAAACTAACGCAAGAACAGAAAACCAAACACCGCATGCTCTCACTTATAAGTGGGAGCTGGACAATGAGAACACATGGACACCGAGAGGGGAGCAACACACACTGGGGCCTGTTGAAGGGTAGGGTGAGGGGAGGGAGAGCATCAGGAAAAATAGCTAATGCATGCTGGGCTTAATACCTAGGTGATGGGTTAATAGGTGCAGCAAACCACCATGGTACACATTTACCTATGTACACATCCGGCACATGTACCCCGGAACCTAAATTTTTTTTTTTTTTGAAACGAAGTCTCACTCTTGCTCCCCAGGCTGGAGTGTGATGGCGTGATCTCAGCTCACTGCAACCTCTGCCTCCTGGGTTCAAACCATTATCCTGCCTCAGCCTCCTGAGTAGCTGGGAATACAGGCGCCTGTCACCACACCCGGCTAATTTTTGTATCTTTAGTAGAGACGGGGTTTTGCCATGTTGGCCAGGCTGGTCTAGAACCCCTGACCCCAGGTGATCCACCTGCCTCAGCCTCCCAAAGTGCTGGGATTACAGGAGTGAGCCACCGTGCCCGGCCGGAAATTAAAATTAAAAAAAAAAAAGAAAAAAAAAAAGCCCAGGCGCAGTGGCTCATGCCTGTAATCCCAGCACTTTGACAGGCCAAGGTGGGTGGATCACCTGAGGTCAGGAGTTCGAGACCAGCCTGGCCAACGTGGCGGAAACCCCATCTCTACTAAAAACATAAAAATTTGCTGGGCGTGTTGGCAGGCACCTGTCATCTCAGCTACTCGGGAGGCTGAGGCAGGAGAATCACTTTAACCCAGGAGGCGGTGGTTGCAGTGAGCCAAGATTACACTACTGCACTCCAGCCTGGGTGACACAGTAAGGCTCCATCTCAAAAAACAGAAAACAGAAAAAAAAAAAGGGCCAGGTGTGGTAGCTCATGTCTGTAATCCCAGCACTTTGGGAGGCCACGGCAAGAGGATCACTTGAGCCCAGGAGTCCAAGACCCGCCTGGGCAACATCGTGAGACCCTGTTCTCTATAAATAATAGAAACAAAATATTTTTTAAAGGCCTAAAAGCAATGATTACATATTAATCATGGCCCAAAAACAAAACAAAAAAAAAAAAGTGTGTGATGCTTGCTAGCACAGTAACCTCAGGATCAAAAGCTTTGTGTTTTAATTTTTATTTTTTTTAATTTATTTTGAGATAAGACTCTCACTCTCTGGCCCAGGCTGGAGTGCAGTGACACCATCTCGGCTTACTGGGCTCACTGCAACCTCCACCTCCCAGGTTCAAGAGATTCTCCTGCTGCAGCCTCCCAAGTAGCTGGGATTACAGGCACCCGTCATCACGTCTGGTTAATTTTTGTATTTTTAGTAGAGACGGGGTTTTGCCATGTTGGCCAGGCTGGTCTCAAACTCCTGACCTCAAGTGATCCTCCCGCCTCAGCCTCCCAAAGTGCTGGGAGTACAGGTGTGAGCCACCATGCCTGGCCAGCTTTGTGTCATTATGATGAAGCAGAGAAGAGCTTACAGGACAAAAGGGACTCTGGAGAGGAGCAAAGCCTCCAGGTATGACGCTATCTGTTTAGGAGATCGGGGGCAGCAAGATGGGACTGGCTGCAGGGGGCCGGAGAGGTGAACAAGTCCCCCAGCCCCAGGCCTCTTCCCCACTATCCTATACTCACAAACTTTAATGCACCCAATGTTTCCGGAAGGCTCACCATGAGCCAGGCCCCATCCCTGCCCCAGAGCTGTAGGTAGGACTTAGCCTCTGCCCTGGGGAGCACCATCCAATGGGGAGACGAAATTCAGAGCACCATAGTCAGATGGAGGATTCCAGGCAAAAGCATCCTCACGTCTGGACCTCAGAAACACAGGAAATCTCTGATACAGGAGATGCCCTTGTCTGTCCAGCCATATCTGCAGTCGCAGATTTTGAAGAAACCTTTTCTCCATTAATTTTGTTGTTATTATTATTTTTAGAGACAGGGTTTTATTCTGCTGCCCAGGCTAGAGCGCAGCATCACGATCTCAGCTCACTGCAA